TCTCTGCTACTACACTGCCTTTTCTCACTCTCACCCTAATTTCCTAGTTTGTGCTCCATTTGATTCTTCATCGTGTTTGCCCACACCCCACATGTAGACCATCCTTTGTTCTTTTTGCTAATTTTCCTGGGCAAAGCCTATTGTCATGGACCTAGTTAATGTTGTTTTAGTTAGTATCTCTTCCATATTAAAAATCCTTCTTGACCCTGTATACTCTCTCACTAGCTCACTCACAGGCATGCTCTTGGAAAAAAGAGCCTATAACAACCACCATCTCTTCTACCTTCCTATGTTTCAGCCCCTGTAGTTGGGCTTCTGCTTCCACCATTTTTATGAAACAATATCAAAGACTGTTGTTGATCTAATGGCTAAATAATGAGTTTTCCCCAATTCTTATATTAATATCTCCATTGCATTTAACAATGCTAACTATTTCCTTTACGTCTCTCTCTCCCTATTTGGCTTGTATGGCATACGTTGTCCTTGTTCTTCCACCTCTTTATACATTCCTCCTCTGCAGTTTTTGGACTTCTATACTTCTGCTTGCTTCTTGAATGTGGCTATTCTCTGGAGCTTGTTCTCAACCTTCTTTTCTTCTTATGTTACCCACTTTCTCTGTGACCACCATTTTTATGTGCATAAGTCAAACTAAGTTTTACTTTTAGTCCAAACCTCTTTGCTAAGCTGCAGATTCTAGTTGGGCATCTCTACTCACATGATCCACAGGTACCTCAGGTTATAGATGTCTAAATCCAGTCATCTTTTCCTCTGTATCTGTTTCTCTTCTAGTTTTTCTGGGTGTTACCTAAGCCATGAATATGGAAGCCATTCTAATCTATTCTCCTTCCATGTTCCCAGCTAGTCCCCCTTTATAGCAAATCAGACACCAAATCCTATCAAATTCTCTCTTCAATATCCATCCATCCTGTCCCTCTGAGTCTCTCCATAAAATTATTATTCAGACTCCCTATCTCCAGATCTTAACAAATCTCATCCTATACTCCCTTGATTAAAATCCTTTTGATAGTTCAGGCCCCCTTTTCTCAAACTAGAGTCCACATAACCTGGCAGATTAATAGGCATACTGAAAGTCACAGGATAAAATTATCCTAAAATTTTCATTTGAGGGTAAATAATTTAAAGTGGAATGGAAATTTAGCATGCATGCACTAGTAAGAGGAAATAGATGTCAAAAGAATTCCTGCTAGTCTGAAGGGCTTCAAGCTAAGACACCACATTCCCTGGGGATTTTTTTTTTTTTTTTTTTTTTGAGTCAGGGACATAACATTCATTCAATGGAAAAGTTTTAAAAGTAACTCACATTTCCTGGAAAGACAAGTAAGATTCTGTGATCTAACCCCCTGCCTCCTCCTGACTTATCCTCTACATTGTCTTGCTCTCTACTTAATTCCCAAAACCATACAAACTGCTTACAGTTTCCTGAATGTAATAGGCTCTTTCAAATCTCTATTCCTTTATCCACACTGTTCCTCTGCTTTGCTCTATTGTTCTGTCTGACTAATACCCAATTATCTTTCACAATTCATCTCACAAGTCACCCCCCAGTGAAGCTTTCCATCGTCCCAGTCTGTTCACAACTCAACACCACTCTCACCAGGAAAGGTCAGTTACCTCCTGTTTTATGCTCCTCTTTTGTACCTTGTACACTGCATATTCTGGCTCCTGCTGCACTTTATTGTCCCTCAAGTTTAAGCACACTGAACTGTTAGAGTTTGAATCAGTTCTCCCACCTGAGAACTGACTGATCTTTGGCAAGATAATGTGTGTGTCTTGTGTACTATAGCATCTGGCCCATCATAAACACTACCAGTGTTAGTGCCACTATAATTATTTCTGTTATGATTTGACTTCAGAGAGGTAGTCTAAAATAACATTTTGGTTGAAAGAGCAGGTTCTAGTGCTAGAATTGCCTGGGTTCATGTCTTACCCCAGCCACTTACTAACTGTAATCTTGGGCAAGTTAATTTATCTATGACTCTTATTTTCTTATTTCTGTGAATAATAATAATAGTGGCAATTTCATGGGGTTGCTGCAAGGTTTAAGTGAGTTAAATGCTTAGAATGGTGCCTGGGAGTAGGAGGAATTCAGTATACATTAGCTGTCCCCAGTGTAGCAGCTAGAAATTTGCTCTCAGTAATTGTTGCTTGAATAAATGATTGACCAATCCCTCTAAGAGGTTGTAACCTCTCCCTCTGCACTCCCTGTGCTGATGCTCAGGAACTGTCCTCAGGAGACACCTTTTGTGCAGAATTCATTCCCTATGATAACTCCCTAGCAACTAGTGCAGAGGGGATACGAGGATATTTTTACATTGGATTGCCTGACATGATGAATCAATTTTTAATCTAATTTCTCCCACTTATTTGTTGTCTGTGTTTTTCTCTTAAGTCCCAGTTTGGTATTAAATTGTGTTATTTCAGTTTGAGCACAAATTACAAGCTCCCTCATCATTTTTCATCATTTCTGAATAGTATTTCCTCGCTGTTCAAACCAGTTAAAGGCTCAGTTCCAGTCCTTCTATATTCTCTCCCAGAGGGACCCTTCATCACTCACAGTTTATCTCTCTGCAGTTGTGATGAGTCCCTGCCTCCCTTGTCTGGGCTTGCCAGTTGGGGCTCAAGTCTTCCTGATTGGCTATGTGTAATTCACTGGATCAGAACCAGAGTTCCATGCTTGCTTCTCTTCCCCTCAAACTCATTACCAGTCCTTCAGACTGTATTTTATGGCACCTTTCACCATTCTTTTTTTTTAAATATTTTTAGTTGTACATGGACACAATACCTTTATCCCTGAGCTACAACCCCAGCCCCTTCTACCATTCTTACCACTTTGCTTTTAAGTGCTCTGTTATAGTCATAAGAAAATAAATATCCACAGGCTATATGCTGCCTCACCCCTCCGTGACTTGACATGTTGTACCCACTTGGAATGTCTGCCTTCTCTTTACTGCTTCTACCTGGTAGAAAATTCATCCTTCCAGTTCAAGTGTCACTTGCTCCTGTAAAATCTTCATAACCTCTTCCCTGTATACTTGATCATTCTTCAACTACCTCTCCTGTACCTCTACTCACTTCTTTATAGCACTCAAAATTCTATGGTAATTTATTTTTTATAAGTTCAATTCCTGGCCTGGATACTTACCCACATATGACCTTAGGCAAGTTGCTTTACTTCCAAGAACCTTAGTTGCCACCTCTGTAAAATAGTATTATAGTACTGACCTCAAAAGTATGGAGCATATTTCAAATAAAATTCAAACCTGTAAGTACTCTTAATTTTCTATAGGATTAAATCCAAGCTTCTCAGAAGGGCATACAAGGGCCTTCCAGCAAACTGTCAATGCTATTACTC